GCAATATGTTATAATGCGTAAACCTTTATCTTCATAATATTCGGTATGAATTTGGCTTGACGAAAAATTTGCTACATCCTCTCCCACAATTTTATGTTTTTCCCCGACAGGGCTCGCATGCAAAAAGCAAGGAGACGATGTTGCTTTCGTCTGGGGAGACGGTACAGCGGCAAGCAGATACGTTGGCTTCTGGAAAGAATCCCATCCCGATTACAAATCGGGAAGTTGCGCCATGGTATTTACTCTTCGGTTTCTAGTGCTAATGTGTCGCAATTCCTATGTCTTTCAGGCGACATTATCGAGAACTGAACTGGAGTGGAGCCTCGAACGATGCAATATATTACGGCCGTTCATCTGCGAGATGCCGGCTTGCACGAAAGGTGACGTTTGGGGTTGATAAGCCCGGGTTGAATGTGTTTATCGTTTGTTTTTAAGGATCATTTTTCTGCGCCAGCGGAGGTTGCGTGTCAGATTCACGACGCTGTAATGGTGTAGACGATTGCGGCGATTATAGCGATGAATTGAATTGTCCGGGTAAATTTTACCCTTCTTTTGGGCTTCGTCCTGAGTTGTCTATGCCAGACGCCACGTGCCAGAGCGCGATCGATCGATACTGGCCGCACCCACGTAGGCGCTGGCACGTCGCTAGCACGGCGCTAACACGGGCAACTCTGGACGCCATTATAGCTGACGGCCGTTTAGAAGATCTTTGCGATTGCTTATAAATTATGAAAAGCGCCTGATCTTTCCAGCATCACATGCAGATATGGCATGTTTGGGATATGAAAAGGGAGAATCTGGCAAGTTTTCAACGCCGAACTATCCGTCCCCATATAGGGGCAATTCTAATTGTCGATGGGTAATTGAAGCACCGATTAACAATCGAATACAGGTCAATATTTTGTTTGCATTTTTGCAAAATCGTTCTTTTGTGGTAGAATCAAGCACATTTGTCCACTTCCAGTTGACATTTGACTATTTCGAAACTGAAGAATTTGTTGACATTGTCACTGTCCTTGATGGAGGTCCAGCGGAGAACAGTACCACAGGTGATTTAAGTCAAATGATTTTTTCGAACTCGCCCAAATACTATATGCTTTAGTGCTTGCCACTCTGTCGGGTGCGAAAAGTGAAAAAATCGAATTGATGTCTTCTTCAAACATGATCATCGTACGCTTCAGAAGCGATGCGGCCGTACAAGCGCGGGGTTTCCAAGCACATTGGAGGTCCGGTGAGTAGTATAGCCAAACGAATTTTCAATCTTGAACTGTTTTGTTTT